TAACAGGGCTTAATCCCTGAGCTCCAGGGAAGGGGACTACTACATGGAGAGGGATAACTTGCTCCTCCTGACCTCTTGTGAGACAGGGTCAATGATATTTACCATTTAAGGAAGACATCCCTCCAATTAAAGCCATGAGAGTACAAGGCATCCTCTTTGATGTTCTTTATTTTCAGCTTTTACAGCGATAATCTTCACCAAAAATCTGGTAATGAGGGGCAGGGGAATCTCTGTGTGTGGAAGGCCAAGTGTTACAACACAGCTCTGGCCTCAGGCTGTGCTGAGCCCCTCGGAGCCCACGCTGGAACATCTGGGCCATCTCAGGATGGAAGGTCAGCCTGGACAGCTGAGTCTGCTCCCAACTGCTGCATGAGGGGCTGGATCTGGGGGCTGGACAGCTGTGTCTGGGCAGCTGTGTCTGGGCTACAAGGCCCAGAGCTCGAATTTGCGTGGCTGGAGATGCTCCTGGGGAAACAGCTCAGCTCGTGAGGTTGTGATCCACCATCCTCCTGCCTCCTGGATGGAGGGGATCCCTTCCTCCTTTGGCCACTCCCCAGCTCTAGAGCCAGCAGTGGCTCCTGCTCTGCCCTGCTCACCTGCTGAGGAACCAGCCAGGCTCTCTCTTCCTCTGGATTAACTACACCTGCCTATCATTTCTCAGGAAGGAATCCATTTTTTTGCACCCCACCTTCCTTCACTCCTCCCCAGACCACTTTAACATCTGTCTGGGAGCTTGTTTGGAGCAGTGGGCAGTGAGCAACTCATGTCCTGTGAACTGCCCTGGACCCCCCTGGAAATGGAGGGAATCAGTGCAGTGTGTGGTTATTGGTGAGCAGAGTCACAGGACTCTGAAGGCATTACTCATTTAATTAGCATTAATAGGGCAATTATTATCTTAATAAAATGACTGATTATGACACTGAGGTTGTATTTGAGGTTTAACAGCTGCAGCAGCCTGACTGAATTGTATGTTTGTTAATCCTCAGTGAGGGTGTTCTATTTCCCTGAGTGGTGTTTATTTAACATGCAATAAGTGTCTTAGTGAATCTCTATTAAAGGCATATGTGGAAACCTCCATTTGAAGCGTTACAGAAGAGAGTGAGACTGTTCAATTCATAAAAATCCCATTTAAACACTGTGAGCTCCAAAACCAGGCCAGTGCCAAAGCAAACTGAGTCCTGTAAGCTCTGTGCCAGATGTCTCATGTGGGGGATGCTCGGGGTCCAAAGAAAATAAGGTCTGAAGGGAACAGTTTGGCCATTGACTCTCCAGCCCAGCCCATATAAAGGAGTTTCGTTTCCATTCAGGAAATGGAAACCTCTTTGAGGTGGGTCCTGTTCAAAGAGTGCTTGCTGAACAATCCTAACCAGCAGCAGAGATCTCAGCAGCACCTACGCCTGCCAGCAGGAATCACCTGGTGGGAAGGGTTGGGAAGGGTCCTAAACCTCTCTGAGCCCGAGAAAGAAGAGATAGTGAATCACTTAGAGGCGTTTCTGGGGGTTTGTTGGTTGCCTTGTGTTGGACACTCTGACTGCCCTGATGGGTGAGGTGTGAGATGAAGTCTTGGCCGACCTGAGCTTGTCTTTCTTGTGTCCTGTGGCTTCAGGCACCGTGGCTCGCTGTGCTCTGGGCAGGGCACTCCAGGATATTGTGGAATTCAGCTCTTGGAGACTGGGATGATGTCCCTGGAGAGCCCAGCTCTACTCTGCACCCAGCCTGTTTCTATCTGAGTGCATCTCTAAGGCATTTTGCAGGGAAACTCATGTTCATTTTGCCTGTGTTCAGGGACACTGGGGTGTGAACCAGCTGTGACCTGCCTGTGCTGTGTCCTCAGGTGAGGAACACCATCCCTGTGGAACATTCCTGCTGGGCTGAAGCCTCCTGTGTGTCTGTCTGAGCTCACCTGCTGTATCAGCCTGCCTTGTGTGCCTTCTCCTTACAAAGGTGGTTCTGGAGGATTGTTCTGCCTTGGAGAAGGAAATGGAAGGGCTGAGAGGATCACCTGAGGATATTCCCCAAGGCAGCAGCAGGCTGGCATGGAATCTACCTCTTGTCTGTTTGGATCCTGGACAGACTTCTCCCCTGCTGCATCTAACTCATGGTTTTTGGTGTAAGGGATGGTTGCAAGAGCTTTTCCAGCTTGCTGGGCTCTCCTTGCTGCCTGCTGTGCCAGCAGGTCCCACCGCTCTGTCCCAGCTCTCCTTGGAGTGGGAGTCCTGCTGGACACAGCCCAGATTGCTGTGTGGGGCTGGAAACCTTGCCACTCTTGGCCATAAATTTACCTTTCCTTGCTTGTCATCTTTTCAGGGCAGTGAGCCCAGCAGCCCCACGGGCAGGGCTGAAGGAGGGGGTCAATGTTCCCAATGGTTGGTCTACAGGAACAAGCACATGGGGAGGGAATGAGTTCATCTCCTCCATGCTCTTGGCCGTGGCAGGGCTGTTCCAACATTCCTGTAGTGCTGGGCTGATAAGCTGGTTGCAGGGAGAACACTCTGTCCCTTCCCTGGAAGAAGAGTTTCCTCCCAACCTTCCTCCTGGGAGCAGTCCTTGGTGGGCAGCTGAAATTTTCCTTTTCCTCTCCTCCCATGACTGCTAAGAGAATATCCATCCCCTTGCATTGTCCATATTTCCACTGTCCAGAGGTGTCTGGGGATCTGTCAGCTGGTTCTTTCCTTTATTGCAACTTGTTAGCTGCTTTCTCCCAGGTTGGTGCCTTCAACCCTTCGTTTCTCCTGGTTTTGGTACAGCAGGTGATTGCAGTTTGGCTGAAGGAATGAACCTAATAAATTCACGGTGCAAACACCTTGTTTTGACAGCCAGGCTGGTTCCCTGCTGCAGTGACAACAGGAACAGACCTCCCAGCTCACCCTTCAGGTCCCTGCCAAGGGCAGGTGTCCTTGCATGGGCACTTGCTGCCTTCCAGAGACCCAGGCAGGCTCAGAGGGTTGGTTTTTCTGTGTGCTGGAGACAGCAGCAGCCAAGGTGGGTCTCTGATGGATGAACTCTGTGTTCCAGCTGCCCTGTGAGTGCTGGGATCTGTGAGGACACCAATGACCTGTCTGCTCCAGAGGCTCACAGGCAATCACAGCAGTTGACTCCTCAGGAAAGCACCAGAGGCTGGTATTAATCAAGGAATGAGCCTTTCCTGGCTTTTCTTCCTCCCCCCAGCTCAGGTAAGGCTGTTTCTCAAGCATGTGGCTCTCCAACAACACCCAAACCAGCAGTGCAGAGCTACTGGGGCTGTTTTCTTGACTATTAGCTTTCCTGAGGCTTCAGACTTGGTGAATAACTGTAAGAACTTGCCTGAAAGGACATAAACCTCGCACTTCCAATGTGTGAAGTGGAAATTCCTTGTCAAATAACTCCTGTCTTAAGTGTTTGGGCTGGGAGGTTTAACCAGCCAGGGCTAAAGGCCACCCAGGTGCCTGTTGTTGTCCTGGCTGTTGCACAGGCTGTGGGTTCTCCTGTAGAAGCTGCTCCTCACCTGAGTGCAGCCCCAGCAGCCCAAATGCTGCTGTGTGAAGTGTGCTGGTGGGGTTGACTCACTCTGGCAGGTTTGGTGGCAGTTGTTAATTATCTGCCTCACCTGTGCTGTGCAGTGTAAGCCATCGCCTCTGCAGACTTCTGGAACAGCAAAAGCTGGAGATGGGATGACCTCAGATCTTCCCAATTCTCCATTTTCCCCCCGTGGGGGAAGGCTTGTTCCCTCCACTGGATTTTCCTGTCCTGGCTCCAGCTTTCAGTGACTCAAGGCCAGGGTTTTCCTCGGTTCCCTGGGGAGCCTGGCAGATTGCTCACCATGAGAGATGTTTTCCTAAGCCTCCACCTGATCTGTTCCCCTCCTTGATTCCAGCCTTGAACTGAAAGAGTGGTCAGCAAAAAGCTGCAGTGAGTCAGTGCTCATCAAATGGAGTGCTTGAGCACCAGTAACTCTTTCTGGGTCACTTTGATGCAGGTCCTGAATAAAAAGGCTTGAAAGGAAGCTGCCATGGTGTCACTTGAAGGCTGACAAGCACTGGCAAGCACAGACAGTGTAGGTAAAGTCCTTCTAGGAGTTACAGATTAGTGGAAGGCTTTAGTTTATAGAATATTATGTACCTGCAGCTGGTGGAAACTGGAAAGATTACCCCTGAAACATTGAGCTACGTGGCAATTGCTGGTTTTATTTCAGGCTTTTCTTGTGCCTGGTACTCAGTCAAGAAGCTTGACTCTTTTTTTTGCTTAACAAGCTGAGGATTTTCCCATGGATTGCTTTCTGTTCTCCTGCCTGTGCAACCAGTAGCTTGACTGTAATGCTGAAGTAATTCCTAAAATATCATCTGTGAAACAGATCAGTCATGATGGATAAAGCCCTTTTCCATGAGAGATGAGTGGGACCAGCCCCTGGGTTCACTCTCAGAGCCCGCACAAGAAGGGAGAAATAAATTCTAAAGCGTGGCCATGCAAGGGACAAAACCGGCAGCAAATCCAACGTCCACCCCTGAGAATTCCAGAAATACTTCGGGCAGGGTGGAAAGCTGGTGATGGTTAAGAGGTCTGGGGGTAGGAGGATACGTCATGGGATGGGAAGCTCTGTCTGTTGGTTGGGTTGCTTGGGAAGCTGCTTCGTGGTTTGTCTGAAATGAGCAGTGGGCTCTTCAAACCAGGGTGGGCAACAAGGATTGAGCAGGAGTAGAGGATGATGATGCACTTGCTCCTCTGCCAGGGAGATGGAGAGGGGTTAGTTAATGCTTCCCTCCAGCCCTGTGCCACACACCAGTCCTGCCAACCTCTGTGCTGCTCCTTTGGGAGAAGGGGTTTCTGTGCTCTGGCAGCGCTGGCCGTGCTGGGGGTGGGCAAAGAGCACGTCTAAGGTAAGATACAGAACCAGGCTCTGCACCCTGGTTCACCCCATCCCTGCACAGCTCAGCTCTTCCCTGCAGGAATGTCTGATAATGCAGCACTCGGGGCTGAGATCACCCCTTCTGGCGAGTGCCTGCTGTGGTACCAGACCAGTCATCTGGCAGCGCGCTGTTACTGCAGTCTCCAAGGAAACCCTCCGTGCTGCTCCCCCTCGGAAGCTCCGTGTACTCCTGGAGAAGCTGCAAGTGCAGATGTGAGAGTCCTGACCCGTGCCCATGAGCTCCAGACCAGGTGGCTGTCGCTGCCTTGGGTGTTTCCTGCAGATCCCTGGAGGTCTCTGCTGAGGGGAGACCTTGCATCACTGGCACGTGCCGGGAAGAGAGTTCCAGAGGAGGGTCCCAGTTTGCCAGCTCTGCAGTTGTTAGCAGCACTAAAATACTCCTGGTAAGGAAACAACTCACCCACAGTTCACCCCCGTGTCCCAGAGTGTCTTCCCTGGGCTCCTCTTCAGAACTTGGTGTTTTCTTTTGAAGGGGTGAGGAAGGTCAGGGGAAAACCTCCTTGTGCTATTTGTGTTAGTTGTGTTCCCCTGTTAGGTTGTACATGGGCCTGAGACCAGCTTTGTCCATTTAAAAATGGGCATTTTCTGAACATTCCTGATCTTGGGGTCACTGGTGTGCAGTGAGGGACTCCCATCTCTCAGGAGAAAGCCAGAGCTGAACCGTCTGACAGCTGGAGAGAAGTGAGGAGATGGGAAGGGCTGGCTCAGCCCAAGCGTCTCATGTTCCTTGGGGGTGATTTATGGAAGCTGCTGCCCCTTTTGCCCCTCACTGTGAGCCCTGGGAAAGTGCTGGATTAGGTGTAAGCTCTGCTTCAGCAGGTGAGTGGTTTGTTTGTCTGCTCCGTGCCAAGTGGAACCTGCTCCCCTGGAGCCCTTCTACTGCAGCCTTTCTGTCCAAGTCTGTGCTCCCAAACCCGGCCAGAGTCTCACCCAGCACCCCTCAGCCCTGGATTTCTCCTGAGGTGTCTCTCAGCTGCACCACACAGCTGCTGGCACGTGTTGGGTCAGGCTCTTTCCAGGAACTCTGGCAGTCTGTAAATAGTGTCCCTTGTCCCCTGATGCCCCCCCAGGGCTGGAGGGGAGAAAAGGTGTTTCCCTCTGGCTCTGCTGGTGATGCTGCAGCACTCAGGACGTGGCAGCTGCATTTAGTGAGCCTTCAACCCTGACAAGAGCTGGAGTAACTGAGAGGCAGAATCTGCCTGGTGGATTGAGATCACTGCTGTTGAAGGATAAACTGTGCTGGGTTTAACTTTCCCTTTTTTTTCCCCTGCTCGTCTCCCCAGTAGCAAGTTGGGGGACACGTGTGGGGGAACAAATCAGCAGCAGACAGTGGCATGTGAAGTGATTCTCCTGGCTGGCACAGACGGGGCTGGGAGGGCAGAAATACTCGTGGTGATTTAAAGGGCAAAGATAACTTTTGCTGCTTTCTCACTCGCACGGCCTAAAATGGTTTGGAGGAAGGAGGAGAGAAGCTGAGCCTGCTGGTTTGGGAGGGATGTTGGATACTGTGCAGATGGGGCTTTTATGTACTTGATTTCCTCAGAGCTCCTGAGTGGTGGGGGACAGGCTGTTACTGGGGGGAGCTGGTGCTGAACTGGTCAACAGGCACGGGTGTCTGTGTGAAAGGCTCTTGTCTCCCAGATAACACAAGTCCCAAAATGACTGGAGAGGTTCCCCCCCCTCCTCTTAAGCACTTCTCAGGCAACATTCAGGCTCTCCAGCCCCACTGGCTGTGCATGTGTTGGATAAGGAAGTGAGGTCTAAACAGTGCCATGCTCAGCTGCAGGAGTGAGCAACACCTGGTGTAATGAGTGTGAGGGAAGATGTGATTCAGGGTGGTAGTGGGGGCTGGTTTTGGGAGCACAAAGGATCTGCTGGTGGAAGGGCCAAGGGTGAGTGCAGGAGCCAGGCAGCATCAATGCCTGGGGCCAGCCAAGAAGGGCAGGGGGCAGAGAAGTGGGGACTGGCAGAAGGGCAGACAATCCCTCCTCAGTGCCAAAAGGACCTTTTAAGCACCCAAGACTGCTGTGGGTGTGCAGGTGCATCCAAAAGAGAAGGGATGTGGAGCTGGATGGTCTGTGGGGCTCAGGGGGCAGAGGCAGATTCCCAGCCTGATCCTTCTGCTGCTCATTCCATGGGAGCAGCCAGGGGGTGTGAAAGGTTCTCCAGGCAATGTGTGGGATGCCTTCCTTTGGTTCATCAGCTGTAAATTCCTCCTGGAGACCTGGCCTGCCTTCCTGAGGGCTTCTCTCCTGTAAGCTGACCTCTGGGCAGCCTTGCCTGGGTTCACTTCCAAGGGATGCACCTTTTCCTTCCTCCCCACCTCCCCAGGTATCCCAACACCTCCCAGCAGCACAAACCCCTCTCTGCTCCCTGTTTCCTGACCCTGCTGACTGTGTTGGCTTCCCAGGGTGAGAGGTTGCCCTCAGTGTGTGTGTGTTGGGCTCCCTGATCTCTTTACTTTTCTCACAGTTTCTAAGATGACCAGTGCCGTGAGACACAAATGCCAGCCCCTCCTATTTTGTGTGCCTGGGGACAAGTCTGAGCTGCTGCTGGATTACACAAAGCCCAGGTCGTTGCCATCATTTGATGGGACTCTCGAGTTTCCTATCCCCAGCTCAGTGGTGTTTTGCCCCTACCAGCTCTGAGCACAAACTGGGGCTGGTTTGTGTTCCTGAGACCCTGTGATGTCAAGAGTGTGCTGCATCCACCTGAAATGCAGTTTTGGGGTCTGACACGAGGGTTCTTTGAGCATGAAACAAGTGAAAGATTTTTCTCTGAGGCCTCTGAGAGCTGAGACCGATGGGGAAGAGCCTGGGAGCTGCTGCTGGCAGGAGTGAAACTCCAGCGAGCTTCCATTGAACTCTTGGACCTTTAACTGGGGGATGGGACTTTCCAAACTGATTCAGAGCTGCTGTTCCCCCACAGCCCTCACTTGGGCACCTTGCAGGCAAGGCCAGCTGCTCTGAGCTGCCTGGCTCAGCTCTCCACCCTGCCTACACTTGTTTCCCTTTCCTACCCACTCATTCTTTCTTTCTCCTCCTGGCTCCCTCCCCTCTGGACTTGGGGAGAGGGATCTGGGACTTGCAGCCTGTTCCTTCCCACTTCCCTGGATCTCCTTCCTGGTGATGCTGCTTCAGGAGCCCTTCCCTGGGCCGAGAGGGACATCTAGTGGGACTGGAGCTCAGGGACCTGGGGGTTTTCTGTATTTCTTGCATTATTTATTTATTTATTTGTAATCCTTAGGAGAAGGACCGGTTCTTATTGGAGCAGGGATTGAGCTTTCCCACAGTCCTGCTGCACTGGGGGCAAGGTGGGCCTTTGGTGGCCGATTGGTGGGATGTTTCCCTCTTTTCTGGGATGTGTGAGGGGCAGTTGCCTGTTCTCCTGTGAGGCTGGGGAGCAGCAGAATCTGTGCAGGGGAGCAGTCAGGCCAGCCTCTCCCTCAGAGCATTCCTTGTTGCCCTTTTCCTTGAGCACAAATTGCTGTGGAAGGGGGGGATAGCCAGGTTATACCTCTGTACTTGGACAGAGGGAAATGCTGTGGAAATCTGAGCCCTTCCTTGCAGGTGTAGGACTGAGGATGGCGTGGGACAACAGGCTCTTCCTCTGCACAGTAGAAATATTGTGATGACCAGAACAAACCCAGTGGGTTTATTCTCTCTGCTTCTGCATCAGGTGGTCTGACACAAGGCTTGGAATTGTCCCCTCAAGTGGTGCTGAAAGGCTGAAGGGCTGAGCCAGCCCCTCAGAGCCCCCCATGTGCTCAGTGCCAGCCTGGAATGGGGCTGTGGTGAGTGACACTGCTCTTGGTGAAGCAAAACCTGCCTGAACACACCTCTCTTCCAGATTTGGTTGCACAGGATTCATGCTTCTGTCTGGAAAAGCATCTCCCGCACCCTTGCTTGCCTCAGCAATCCTTCTGGATGTGGCAGGATCCCCAAACCACGTGTGGGCACAACGGAGAGTGAGCAGACACTGGACCTCGTGCTCAGCAGGTGATGGAACATCCCACTGCCCTTCCCCTCGATGCAGGTGCCAGGGCTCTGTACTCCTTTTGCACTCCCCAGACTGTTTCTTCCCCACAGTGGAGCTGCTGTGCAGCAGGGGTGCAGAATTCAAGTGTTTCACGTGGAGCAGCTCCACTCCCTCTTAGCACTGGGGGTCTGTGCTGCTGGTTTCTGACTCAGGAACGTTTGCACAGAAGATGAGGAAGAACCACACAGGCACAGTACTAGAAAATATCCCAGTTTATTGGAGCATCTCACTTCAGGGAATTTTACAAAACAATGTATTTACAGGTGAGGAAGGGACTAACTCAACTGGAGTGTGCTCTGCTGGGGCCAGGAACAGGCTACACGGGAGAGAGGAAGGAAATCAGCACATTCACAAGTCACATTTTTCTTTACAAAAGTGGGATGGGTGTAAGGCTGGCGTGGGCACAGCTGACCCGTGTTGTCCTTGCAGGGGGCACTCCAGGAAGGATTCAGTGCAGCCCTTGTGCTCTCCACCATGACTTCAGACACCTGGAGCTCAGCCCAGAGCGGAGTTAAGGCACAGTGTGGTGATGCCGATGGCCCTGGGCTCTCCCTCTGTGCAAGCAGCTCTTCCCATGGCTTCCCTCGGGGGGAGTGATGGGTTTCCCTTTCAGGCCTCCAGCCCTGGACTCAGCCAGGCCAGAGGCTCAGTTGGCCAGTGGACAGAAGGAGGAGACCACAGCACAGGACAAGAAGGGGACACCCCAAAAAACATGGTAAGACCTCCCTTCCCCACCCCCCATGACTGAACACCACGGTGTGGATGGCCATTTGAAAACAAATGCAGGACTTAGAATATATTCTGAAAGCACGTTTTTGAACCTGTCCAATAAAGTCTGTCTCTAAACAAAAAGTGTTTGTCTCCTTTTTTTAGTTTTTAAAAAATTTAATTATTTTTTTTTTACTTCTTAAGTTTATTATTCTATTTATAATCTTGAATGATGGTTCATTTTGGTTGTTCGTGGGAGCTGCACTAGCTTACCCACCAAGGGAAAAACTTCTCCAAACGTGGATTTCTAAGTTGGGAAGACTAAGGACTGAACCAAACCACCAGCTCTGGCTGCACAGGGAGTCCCAGGCACTCGCAGCGAGGTAGAGGGAAGGTTGAAGTTCACAGTAGAGGCCGTGCATAGCTGGCAGTGCCAAGAGTCTCCAGCCAGCACTGTCCAAGAGGTGTCCAGGCAGGAATCCATCCCTCCCTAGAGGCCTGTGTGCTGCTGGATCCAGTCTCGCAGGCTGGTGAGCCGGCTGTACACTCCAGGCTTGTTCCTCTGGGCACAGCCATCCCCCCAGCTCACCACTCCGGCCAGGAACATCCGACTGCTGGGCTCCACACTGACCAGGGGGCCCCCCGAGTCTCCCTGCACACAAACAAACACACAGCAGCATGAGCACCAACCCCCTGCAGCCTCCTCGTGCAAAGTGTTAAGAGTCAAAACTGAGCAAAAAAATAATCACAAAAAAAAAACTCCACGTCTCAAAAGCAATTCTAAGTCAGCACAATTTTTTTGGCCGTTCCCTAAAACAAACATTTTAGCCTGGCAATAAGAGTCACGGGGCCAGAACACAGCTATAAAATCAAGCACCCTGTCTTGCTAACTAAGAATAAGAAACAGCAAAAAGCTGGATGGTCCTGCCTGGTCAGAGGGTTTTGAGTGTAAATCCTGCCATTTTTGAGACTAAGTCCTGTGCCGACACAACTTGCTGCTGGCACCCATTCCAATCTGTCTGTTGTCTGAACCCAGGAGGATTCACACAGATTTGTTGTAGGTTAGAAGTGTAAATGTAAGTGCAAATGGCCTGCCTCCCTCACAAACAAACAGCAAAGAGCACTAACTGCAGGTGCTGCCCTACCTGGCAGGCGTCCACGCCCCCAGTCAGGATCCCCACACACATCATACGAGGTGTCAGCTGGTCCGTCAGGAGCTGGTTACACACGGTCTGGTTGATGAGCCTGATCTCTGCCTTCTGCAGGATGGAGGCTCCAGTGCCTGTGAGGATAAGCAAAATACACATTTTGAAGCAGCTCCCACTTTTTTCCCCTCCAGAAACACAAAAATCATAGAATCACAGAATGGTCTGGAAGGGATTAAAGCTCATCCAGTTCCACCCCCTGCCAGGGGCAGGGACTCCTTCCACTATCCCAGGTTGCTCCACGCCCCGTCCAACCTGGCAGGGATGGGGCAGGCACAGCTTCTCTGGGAAAGCCACACAAAACACATCAGCGCAGCCCCGAACTGCCACACCAGCGCTCACCTCCTTCGGCGGTGGCTCCCCAGCCGGTCACCCACAGGTCCTTGCCCACGGGGAAGTTGTGGGTGGCATCGGGCAGGCAGATGGGCTGGACGACGGCCGAGAAGGTGGCGGGGCTCTGCAGCTCCAGCACGGCGATGTCGTAGTCGTAGGTGTAGTCGTTGAAGAAGGGGTGGGAGATGATGCGCTTGATCTTCCGCGTCTGCACCTTGGGGCCGCTGAGGTCGCCTTGGTCGGTCAGGCCCAGGTAGGCCGTCCACAGGCTGGGGTCTGAGTACCTGCACAGGGCATGAGGCACAGGGTGAGGCCCCATCTCGCTACCTTAAACAGTTTCCTCGAGAAACACCTCTCAAAAATCGGTGTTTTCCTACTGAAACGCCTGAAAAGGGGATGGACCAGGCCCTCCTGTACCTGATGCCCTGCAGGGGCAGGAAGCAGTGAGCTGCTGACACCAGCCAGCTCTCCGAGACCAGCGAGGCCCCACAGATGTGGCCCTGGCCCTTGACGTGCAGGCTGACCTGCCACGGCCACTCTCCCACGTCCGAGTTCTGCCCGCCGACGATCCGCGACTTCCTGACGTAGGAGCGGGTCCCGCAGTCTGGGGTGGGGAAGGAAAGGGGTGCTTGGTTACTCCTGTTCCCATTCCATACCTCCCGTCTGTTCCTTGGGGATATCTGACAGACAGCACACAAGTTACCCATGTCAGGGAGGGGCTGATGCTAAATTAGCTATAACATTTACTTCCTAAGTACATAAATGTGTACGTAAAGCCCTGTATTGCCCATCCTGAACAACACTCCCCAAGCTGATACAGAACACATCTTGCTATTTCCAGATCAAGCCACCACACAGGGCTCTCTCTGCCACACTGGGGTGTTTCTCTAAGAGGCCCAGCCTAGAATCCCGTGTTCCCCCCATTCCCAGGGCACTCACTGCAGTTGTCCTCGTCAGAGTTGTCCTCGCAGTCCTGTTCCCCGTCGCACTCAGGGTTCTGTTTGCTGATGCAGTGCCCGCTGCGGCACTTGTAGGTGTACTCCTTGCAGGGCACTGTTGCCTGACCTGCTGCAGGCAGGACAGAGATGGGGTCAGCCCCAGTTCTGGGAGGTCACACAGCCCAGGAGCCCGTCACCTCTTCCCCCCATCCCCAGGACATGCCAGCCCCATGAGAAAACACTCTCCAGGATGCCCAACCACCGAGAAATCCAGAGGCTGCATTCAAGGGAAATGTCCCCTCAGTCCACCCTCACCTGTGCTGCAGCTGCCCTCGTCGCTCCCGTCCCCACAGTCGTCCTTCCCGTCACACTTCTGCGTGTTGGGGACACACTTCCCGTTGTCACACTTGAAGCTGTCGGCTGCACAGCCTGGGGACAGAGAGCAGCTCCTGAGGGCAGGGCAGGGATCCTGCAGCACCTCAACACATGGCTGTGCCCACTGCCTTCCCCAGGTAAAGCCTCTGCAGCTCCAGCATCCTGTGTCTCCAATCCCTTCTTCTCCAAAGTGCACACCACCCCCAGTCACTCAGCCCTTTCTTTCCCCAAACCCCACGTATTAATGTTAAAATTAACGCCTGGCTGTTAATTTTGGGTTTCTTGCCCACTCACTTCCAGCACAGCACTTGCTTCCCTCCATCCCACAAACCTCCACAGCCCCAGTCCCCACCACACCAGCCCTCAGCGAGTCACTCACTGCACTGCAGCTCGTCACTGTTGTCACCACAGTCGTTCACGTTGTCACAGACCCAGAACTTGGGCTTGCACCAACCATTCTGGCACCTGAACTGCTGTTCAGTGCAGGCTGGAAAAGGGCAGTGAGAATGACAGAGTCATTAGGGCTGGAAAAGACCTACAAGACCATTGAGTCCAGCCTGTGACCAATCCCCACCTTGTCACCCAGACCAGAGCACTGAGTGCCACATGTCTTAAACACCTCCAGGGATGGGGACTCCACCACCTCCCTGGGCAGTCCCTTCCAATGCTAGAAATCAGGGGAGAGACCTGCAAAGGCACTGTGGAGTCACCAGAGACCCATCCACCATGGTGGCTCTCCCAGTGGGTGTGCAGACACCTGGGAACCCACCAAACAGCTCGAGACCATGCACGTGCACAAATATACACGTGGGCTAGAGCACAGCATTTCCCTTTTTCTGGAGAACAGAACCATTTGGAACTGCCCTGTCTCAGGCAGCAGAGGTTGAAGCTGACATCACTGCAGGACAGCCTCAGACAACAACTGAAGCAAAGCACTTGCTACAAGCAGCAGGAAAGCACCTGAGAAACCCCTCCTCAGAAAACTGCCACCTCCCCTGGGAACCAGATCCCAGTCTAGGGGATTCCATCTTCTCCAATGAACTGCAGACCCTGGACAGTAACACTAACTACAGGACAGCTCTGCTAATCCAGGAGGAAAACTTGTTGCACAGAGAAACAACTCCATGTATCGCACAGCTTTTCCAGATGTGCTCTGCAAAGCCTGCCCGGTTGGACAACAAAACGTGTCCCTTCAACCACCCAGCTCAGCCAAACCCACAGCCAGGAGGATTACACAGAAAACACATTCCCAGCTGAGTGGGACTGCAAATGGAGAGAGGGCTGGATTAGCAGGAATTCACAGCTCCTAGGCTGGGAAAGGATCCCAAACAGATCCCACAGTGAGTGCCTCTCACTGCAGCGTGGAGAAAGGCGGCAGTGCTGGTTCCAGGCAGCACCCAGGCACACTGCCCAGGACAAATACCTCCAGAACAGCCACCCCAGGGCAGCACCACCCTTCCCACACCGTGCCAAAGGGAAACCAAGGATGGACTCACTGCAGGATCTCTCGTCGCTGCCGTCCACGCAGTCCAGCCACCCGTCACAGCGCATGCTGCGGTCGATGCAGCGCCCCGTGTTGCAGGTGAACTTGCCAGGGCAGGCTGCGAGGGGGAAAACCACACGTGAGCCCTCCAGGTGTCCCCCTCTACACCCCTTCCCCAGAGCACACAGTGCTCCCTGGGCCTGCCTCCAGCAGAACACAGCAGGCACACAGGGAGGTCTGCAGTAAAATAAAAGCTGCTGTGCCCCTGGAAAAGGCCAGGGAGGCACGGAGGAGGAGCAGCTCTGGATCTCAGGGAAATCAGCTTCTCCCCCAGCCCCAGGGTCCCAACTCACGGTCGCTGGAGTCGTAGGACAGGTACTCTGCAGAGAAGCCCGTGTCCGTGTAGGACTGGTCTGAGTGGAACCGCACCTGGATTCTGTTGGTGGTGCTGGCCACCACAAA